TTTATGAGCGTGTACATTTTTGCCACAAAGGGGTCCAGAGGGTGCAAAATGCATCACGAGAGTATACAAAACATGTAAGAGTAAACGACATTGGATTTCAAAAATTTGACTCAAAAGAAGACTTCTTGCAAAAATCCATGCCAAAAGCTGAAACACAGCTGAAATGAACACCAAATAAAAAAAAAAAGTCAGAAAAAATGTACAAAAATGCCCGAGGAGGGCACAAGGGTTAATTAGCCTATCTCTCAAACTACCTAAACTAGTTATAAATATGTTTATTTTGTACTGTTGGCCGGGTCACTCATTACTGGATCAGCTGCTGCATTAGACAGACACTGACGCTGTCAGAAGAGAGGAAAAAGAGAGGACAGGCTCCGTGTATTTTATTATTATATATAGTCGTTATTCATTTGTTTTAAAGCTTAATAAATAACAAAGAAGACCTTTGACCGGCACTTTTATAATTTTGTCCGGAAGATTTTAACTTTTTCACACGTTGACCGGCGAAAAACTCTGCCCGGTTCCCTCGGCCCCCACCACGGTGAATAAACAGAAGCGCAACCATGACAACCATGCTTCCTCGCTGCTTTTTGTGGAGGAAGTTACAGTACAGGCTCGGCATATGTACTGCAGCTTTTTCCAGCGGTTGGAGCTAAACGGAGCTGTCTCGTGTGAACAGACATTATCCGGTGTATATTGCGTGTGGACGGAAGCTTTTTTGCGATTGCGTTAATCCTATGCGTTTTGCCGTATACGTTCCCATGGGGCACCAGCCTTAATTATGATGGAGGTGAGTGCTACTGGGCGGTAGTCATTGAGGCTGGTGATTTTTGTCTTTTTGGGGACAGGAACGATGGTGGAGTGTTTAAAACATGTGGGGACTACAGACTGCAGCAGGGACCTGTTGAAGATGTCTGTGAACACCTCTGCCAGCTGAACTGCACACACCCTGAGAACACGGCCAGGGATGCCATCAGGTCCAGGAGCCTTGTGTGGGTTAACCCTTTTAAAGGATTTGCACACATCTGCCCTGTTTAAAACAAAAGGGCAGGGCTCCTGATCCTTCTCTGCACCCCCAGCCTGGCTGCTCTTGAAGCGAGCAAAAAAACTGTTCAGCTCGCCTGGAAGAGATGCGCACGCAGACACTCCCGCAGCACCCCCTGCTGCTCCTTTGTAGTCTGTCATTGTTCTTAGTCCCGCCCACATGTTCCGGGTGTTACAGCCTTTGAAGTCAGATTCCACCTTGTCTTTGTACTGTCTCTTTGCATTGTTAATTGCTCTCCGGAGTTCATACCTAGAATTCCTGAACACCTCCAAATCTCCAGCTCTGTGCGCTTTCAGCTTGGTACGCACCTCACTGTTTATCCAGGGCATTTGATTTGGGAATGTTTGTACAGAAACCTTCGGTACCACGTCATCGATGCATTTCCCAATGTAGCAGATGACCGTGTCAGTGTGTGTATTGATGTTATTGTCCTCAAACACACTCCAATCCGTAGATACAAAGCAATCCTGCAGTGCTGAATCTGACTCCTCACTCCTTTAGTTCCATGAACTAAAGAACTCTGGGGAACTAAGTGCTGGGAACTAAGTACGGCAAAGTACTTGGTGTGAAAGCGGCTAATGAGGAAATGAAATTACGGGCAAAAAGTTGTATTTACAAGTATGAAAAGTAAGCATAGGACACCAAATCAACTGAGAGCTGTCTGTCCGCCGCATCTACGCACACACACACACACACACACACACACACACACACACTGTACAACACGCACCCACACAAACACTGTACAACACACACCTACTACAGCTCCTAAAGTATATAATATATATCAGGCTACAGCCATTGTGTATTTTATTATGTGAAGGACTAAATGGTTTTAGACAAATATCGACTCTTTGTTTGTAGATATCTACTAAACTCAAGCAAATACAGAGAGTAATGTAGGCCTGTTTTACTGAGTGATATATATTATACACACTGCTCTGCTTTCTGCACGGACCTCACAGCTGTTCTCACTGGAAACATCGCGTCGCGATGAAAGCAGTTAATAAAATAATATCCAGGGGATGCATGCAGAGCTGTCATTGGCTGAGATAAGTCCTGCCGTGCGTCACGACTCTTGTAAACATCTCTGTTGCCGGAAATGCATCAGCGGAGGAGCTGTGGAGGACCCATCAGTGTATCCATTAGATTACATTACATGTCACTTGTTAGACGCTTTTATCCAAAGCGACTTACATACTCAATACTGTGGGCAATCCCCACAGGAGCAATTTGGGGTGAAGTGTCTTGCCCAGGGACACAACGACATGCTGACTGCAGTGGGGTTTGAACCTGTGACCCCCTGATCCGAACACCAACGCACAACCCACTGCATCACACGCCTCCCTATCCTCAATTATAGCTCCTCCAGAGAGCCTCCTCGGTCCTCTAAGTGCATTTAGAGAAATCAGATGTCCTTCAACATGGCGCGCTGAAATTCATTTCCGGGTCACTACCAGAGGACCAAGAATTAGAGGAGTCGAGGAGGGGTAATTAGTGAAATGAGAAAGGGCCCAGGGTTTCTCTGTCTGGCTGAGAGCGCGTTCACGTGAAAGGGACGGGGTTAGCAACATTTGATCAATCACAAACATGGAGAAGCGTGCTGACAGCGCAGCGTCATACTTCATGACAGTGTTAATTTCGTCAACGAAAACTATGACGAAAAATGTTCGCCAACGACCTTTTTTACATGACTAAGAAGAGACGATGACGAGCTAAAAATAGATTCTTGATAACGAAGATTTGACGAAATGTATATTTAGTTTTCGTTGACGAGACGAGACGGGACTAAGGTGTTAATGGTGGACTATCGGACATTCAAAATGCAGGGTATTTCCCCCCAAGTGTCCGTCTTGTCTGTCAAAATGCATCTTACATTTTTAACTTGCAATATCATTATTTCCGCTCTCTTCACTCCAGAAGAGCGATCTCCCTCTCTCTCTGTGTGCGGGGGCGGGGCCTAACAGACACGCTGCAGCGGCAGAGACGGAGCGTTCAGAGAGTACAGAGACACTCTACAAGACTCGATGTGGACAAAGCTCGTTTGCCATGTTTTCGCGTTAGCGCGTTGACACGAGTAGAGTAGTCTGTCCAAACAGCCGGCCAAAAGGCGTCATATGCAGTCGGAGAAATGCACAATTTTCGACTTCCTTAACTCGTAGCTCTGTTGCCCCAATTACGAGTAACGTTATCACATCAGGTGTGCAGAGGTGGGAGAAGTACTCAGATCTTGTAGCTAAGTAAAAAAATACCATAGTGTAGGAAGAGTTCCTCAAGTCAAAGTATGATCATCAAAATATATTTAAAGTAGCGACAGTAAAAGTAGTCATTGTGCAGATTGGTCCATTTCAGAATAATATATATGATATGTTTTATAATGATTGATCATTAAAGTGTTCTCAAAGCTGGTAAAGGTGCAGCTAGTTTGAAGGACTTTGTATACTGCAGGGTAGCTTGTGAATTTACTAAAGTCTGAGTTAACACTTGATTATATTTCACATCATTCATCCACATCTGTAAAGTAACTAAAGGTATTAAATACATGTAGTGGAGTAGAAGTACACCATTTAACTATGAACTGTAGTGGAGTAGAAGTACACAGTAGCAAAACATTTAAATACTCCAGTAAAGTACAAGTACCTCAACATTTTACTCAAGTACAGTACAATATTTTAACATAATTATATATATTTCATTTATTTCACATTTAAATAAAGCAATTAATTCGGTTAACAATTTGTTAGTTTTTTCCTTTAAAAAATAACAAAAAGTAAATACAAGAATACCGTTAAAGTACCGGATCGATAAGCAGTATTGATAAGACTAGTAGTACCGTAGAAAACCTTAACGATACCCATCCCTAGATATTACACAAGTAAAGTGTTAAGAGAGTGAAATGTTGCTTTACGAATTTCAACACTTGATGCTGTCACCTTGATTCCAATGTCAGAAACCTGTATTTGCCTAACTGAATTGGTTTAAAGAGAGAAAACATTTTGACTAAAAGTTGACTAAAATGTAATTTTTCATCGACTAAAAGTAGACTAAAACGTTTTGAGTTTTCGTCGACTAAAACTAGACTAAAACTATGAAGGATAGAAATGACTAAAATGTGACTAAAACTAATAACCATTTTCGTCTAAAGACTAAGACTAAGACTAAATCAAAAACAGCTGCCAAAATTAACACTGCTTCATGAATGAATAGTAAATAGCAAATCCTGCTTCGAAGTACTGGTGCTGCAGAGATTTCATAAAGTGAAGGAGGTTTTCCTTCTATAAAACAGCTGTGGGCAGCAGATACTGTGAGAGTCACGGATATGAATTCATACAGTAGATCAAAGCAGACTGGTTTACAGACTCTTCTGTTTTGCCAATCCGGTGCTTAAACAAATAGCTCTAAACCCCTGGCCAAAATGTCCCTAAATGAAGTCTGAGTTTGAAATATATCTCAAATAATGTATGCACTGCCATTTCTCCACATAAACATAACAGTCTGCAATAAAACGGTTATCTCCTCTGTGCTCCACTTCCTACTTGGCGCACCGGTAACTTTCTCGTGCGAACTAAATACTTTGTCGTTCGCACAAAATACTATCTTCTGCGCACAAAATACTATCTTGTGCGCACAAAATACTATCTAGTGCGAACGAGAAAGTATTTTGAACCTTTAGGGGCTCCGTAGTTTACTTCTCTCTTATTATATTATTAACAATAACAGATCACATCATTATTTGCCATGGATTTGAATTATAATCTCAAGGCAGATTTTTCAGATTTAGGGAAACATTCCAGAGAAATTTAGAAATATATCCGTTAAGCTTTGTGTCACCATAAACGATCTAAGTCATCATATTTAGTGAACAGAGCTAGATATTAGTACTGAGTTTTTACCTTTATAAGACAATCAGAAACCTTTTTTCTGATTGTTGAACTTGTTGTGTCTGTGTTGGCAGGTCGAAGTTGTGAATCCTGACAACACTCCGGCAAAAGGTGTTGTTGTTGTGGTTGAACCAGGCACCGTGAATGGCCTCACCACAGACAATGGCATGGCAAGGCTAACCATCAATACAGGAGGGTACACACAACTGACGATCAATGTAAGTCTCTTAACAATTAATACAGGCACCACAGGCCGCTTTTTAAATGTAAGCTTTGACCTACAATCAATGAATAATCATTATAAACATGTTTGATATTCATTTTTTAAGGTGAATTCAAGCAGAGCTATCAGCAGATGTTTTTGCTTCTTTATAGCTCATTGCTTTACTTCCGATTTTTTGCACATTTAATTTACAGCATGTGAAAGGTGAAGTTTATCTTAATCGTAGCCAGGATAAAGATGGAATAGGAAAGACTCAATATTTATAACCATATGTATGCTTATGTGTTTCTTTAATTTCAGGCAAAGACGAATGATCCTCGTATTTCATCGACAAGACAAGCATCAGCCAACATGACAGTTCTCCCATATATTACCCAAAGCGAAAACTATATCCACATAGGTAAGAGACCAGGGGTGGGAATCTTTGTGTATACCACTATTTAATTTTGAATCTTTTGAATCACGGTTTGATTCTAAATTGATCCTCAATTCACTACATAGAATTGCTAATTTAGGAATAGACTCCAATACGCCTTGCGCTTATTATGGCTGTGAAAGTACAGTGAAGCGTGTATGAAATTATGGATTTTTTATATTTGAGGACGTTTTTCAAAGTTATGATTTGCAAGACTTTGGACGGTATTGAGCCAAATACCTTTAAAATAATTTGCCTGGAAAACATGCTCCTTTTATTATATTTTTCACTTTTATGTAACAAGTTCATCTAGAACTCTCTTGCTCTAGAACAGGGGTCTCCAACACGTCGATCGCGAGCTACCGGTAGCTCGCAAGCCCTCAATAAGTAGCTCGCCAAGCAAATCCAAAATGTAAAAAATACACCAAAAATAAAGGAAATGTAATTAAAAGAATCTACCCTATGCATAAACGAAACCTCAATCATAGTGAACTCTATCTACTTACTACAACTCTATATCTATCTAACACCCCTCCTCCCCCCACCCCCCACAATGAATATCGACCAATCACGTTCTTGCTTGATTTGTGGGACCAGCGTTGCAGTCTGGAAGAAAAGCAATGTGGAGCGGCAGCTCACCGCTTCATAAGGAGTGTGACCTTTCCTTCTGGCAGAATCTACACAACACATCAGCCCCATTGAACAGCCTATCATGCCAGCCTATACAACACATGAGGGGCAGAGTTTTACTGTGTGTGTTGCAACCATAGACTGTATATATAAAGGTTGCAACTTGCATATTTATTGCACTTGACGCACACACACGCATGGCGTAATTTCCACTGGGGACAGTCCCCCCCCACTTTTCGAAATCCCGTTTGTGTCCCCCCACTTTACTAATATTTTTTAACGCAAGCCGTCATTGCCACGGAGGAGCACACAGTCTCTGTGAGAGAGAGAGAGAGAGAGAGAGAGAGAGAGAGAGAGAGAGAGAGAGAGAGAGAGAGAGAGAAGAGAGAAGAGAGAGAGAGAGAGAGAGTAGCACGAAGCTGAGGAGAGATAGAGAGAGAGAAGAGAGCAGAGAGCACATCTGCTCGTATCTCCTCTTCTCTCGCTATCTTCTCGCCGCTTGCTCTACACAAAAGAAGAGAGAGATCACCTTTCTCTATTAATATATTTGTAACAATAAGTACCATTCCAATGTGTACTATATGTGTATTTAAAAGGGGAGTTGAACTGTGATTACTAACATATGCATAAATAGAAAGAAAGAATGCTAACTGGTAACATAAGATAAGAATAAACAAGTTTAAATGATTTGTTATTGGTTGTGATCATATTATAAAGATGTTTGGAGTATTGAAAAGTATACAGCTCCCTTTCATCTGAGTGTTGAGAGCTGTATCCATCCATTCATGTTGTGCTCAAAGTGCACTAGATTGATGCATTTCACTTCAACATTTAAAACAACATCTTCCCGGGGGTGCATGCCCCCGGACCCCCCTAGAGGAGGTGAGTTCCACCCCCAAATAAAGCAGGTTAAAATAATTAAATTGCATACATGTTCTTTTAGAAAACACTGCAAACGGGTCCCACAGACCCAAACAGCACACAAAGGTTAAAGGTCAGCATATAATAATTAGGGCGTTAACGCGTTAATAACGCGCTAACGCAAAAAAAGATTAACGCCACTAATTATTTTAACGCGATTAACGCATGTGTATTTTTTGTCCTCGGCCACCCCGTATTTTCAGAGCGCATCGAGTTTAAAATACCATCTACAAGCTGATGCTGACAGCCCCGCTCCTGCCGCCCGCTTGTGGCAGACCACACTTCCACGCTCACCGGCAGGCCCGGACTGGCCATCGGGAGGACCGGGAGGGAGTGTGTATGTGTGGCGCGAGCGAGGCACACCTTGCGTGTTGTTGTTGTTGTTGTTAGCATCTGGTGCTAGCTAGCTGCGCTAACGGATATAAGGAGCTGTTTCAATGAAAACAGAGGAGCGACATTTCGCCGACAACTGCGCCGAGCACTTGACTTTATGCAGGTAGCCAGACAGTGGGACATTGTACGAAAAGTCAGCACACTCACCACGGATAGTGCGCGCAACATGATTGCAGCGTCCAGGCAGCTATATGCCTTGAGCTGCACATAGCTCCAACGATCCATCACAGTGTCTCCACATTCTCACACACACACACACACACACACACACACACACACACACACACACACACACACACACACACACACACACACACACTTTTTGTATTGTATTATTGTATGAGAGAGGTTCCAGGTTGAATTGAGGCGAATATTTGTAATGTTCAGAGGTTGTTGTGTTTAATATTCATGAGAATATTTGTCATTGTTTAAATGATAATAAACAAACATATAAAGCATAGTTGTCCACTCATATGTTGATAAGAGTATTAAAAACTTGAAAAATATTCCTCTAAGGTACATTTAGAACAGATAAAAAATGTGCGATTAATTTGCGATTAATCGCGATTAACTATGGACAATCGTGCGATTAATCGTGATTAAATATTTTAATCGACTAACAGCCTTAATAATAATGTTAAAATGTGCTAAATATATACACTGCAAAAAACAATAAAAAGAGGAGTAAAAGTAGCTCACGACTTGTTTTATTTTTTGAAAGTAGCTCTCATCCTAAAAAAGGTTGGAGACCCCTGCTCTAGAATAACTGTCCATCAGAAGCAATGTAAAATATCATTGTTTTATGGGGAGAAAATGTACTACAATGCTCTACTTTAGAAATACTTGAGATACTGCAATCACAACATGTCATATTTGCAGGTGTGGTTTCAGCTGAAGTAGAATTAGGAAATAACATGAAAATCGACCTCAACCTCAAAAGGCAGGAAAGTCATGACACTGACGTCACATACCTGGTGAGAGATGTTTTAAATATGTGCATGTGTGCTTATACTACCCTTTTTGTTGCGTCCATCAAGTTGTGTAGTGCAGTATACGCTCATGTGCAATAAGTGCTGATATGTAAGTCTGTGTCCCTATAGATCATGAGCAGAGGTCAGCTGGTGCAAAAAGGCCGATACAACACAATAGGTCAAGTACTGATCTCCCTGATGGTTATCATTACCAAAGACATGCTGCCATCATTCCGCATCATAGCATATTACCACACAAATGAGAATGAAGTGGTATCAGACTCTGTTTGGGTGGATGTAAAAGACTCCTGCATGGGTTCGGTGAGACACGCAATACAAAACACACACAAACTGATTTATTTATTACTGTATTCATCTGACATTTTAAGCAACTGGTTCAACAAATCCAAACTGTAGGTGTAATTCATTGACCTCACCTTCACATTTAGCTGAAGCTGGAACCATCGAGTCCTGCTCCATCCTATGAGCCTCGCAGGATGTTTGGTCTGAAGGTTACAGGAGACCCAGGGGCCATAGTGGGACTGGTGGCAGTGGATAAAGGCATCTATGTCCTTAACAACAAGCACCGCCTCACACAGAAAAAGGCAATTTATTTATATCATATTTTTATTGCATTCATTGCATGAATACATTTCTAATGACATATCAGAACTTTAATGTGAGTTTCCAGATATGTCTACCTCTTGCCTTTAAGTCTTGTTTATTTATTTGTGTGTGAATGACTTTCATATGCTCAGGTGTGGGACATTGTAGAGAAGTACGACACAGGTTGCACACCAGGTGGAGGGAAGGATGGTATGAGTGTGTTCTACGACGCTGGGCTGCTGTTTGAGTCCAACACGGCTTCTGGGACTGCCTACAGACAAGGTGACACTACTTTACTCTCCCCTTCCCTGAACATAGTTTTAAAAAGTGAGCACATACACCTTTATTCATCACCATCAGTCAAGTGCTTCTTTAGAAGTGAGCATAGTGTGTTCAGTAGAAGAACTGCATCCTAAAGGGTCTTTTTATGGCTCCCCTTTATGGTCACGCAGATTGTTTTGGTGTTTCTGAAATGGTTCGTTGCTGTTTGGATATTTTGTAAATATTTGCCCGCCAGAAAAATATTGAATGCTAGAAAGAATTTAGAAAAACATGGAAAACTAAAACGGTCATATCTGGGTATTTGTTCGTATAATGTGTCTTTGGTTGAATTTGCCCTTTGAGGCATTTCCATGTTTGCATTGACCATGGTGACTGGCCAATGAGCTGAATTGTCCTTATTATAAGGCGGTTTTAAAAACCACCTTTAGCACTTATTCTAAAAAAGTTTGTCATTTACATAAATCAGACGTTCAATATCACATTCTCACCCCCACACCCTGTTCACGTGTCCTACCAGAGAAATCACCTCACTCTGATTTTAAAAGTTCCACATCAGTTATACAATGCTAAGGGTAGGTTGAATATTGTTGCGTTCTGTAAAAGATTTAATCTCTGTTGCTTTTTTTCCAGAATTGAAATGTCCGGCACCGAGCAGGAGGAAACGAGGGACTACAATCATGGATGTCAGAACCAGCTTACGTAAGAACCATAACTCTATAGAAAGCAATAACCTCATTTCCTGTTATCTTCTGTCTGAAAAGTATTTCTTACAACTTTATTATTTTATTTAGCCTTTATTTATACAGGTGTAAAATCTCATTGAGACACAAGGTCTCATTTCCAAGAGAGACCTGTCATGTTCTCAATCCCTAGGTTCCCATTTAGAGTAAAATACATGTAAAACCAGGGTATGGTTTAGGTTGCGGCTATCTTTTGGTTGTCAAGTAGCTAGTACGCATTTTCCTTTGGTTTGATATTATCCAATTTTGGGTGA